AAAAGAGGCGCATCGAGTATTATAAAAAAAGAAAAGGCAACAGAGATCAAAAGAGTCTCTGGTAGAAACAGAAAAAAGGTTGAGACTGATAAAAAAATATGCAAGAATGAGGAGATCCTTTGAGAATGAATCTCAAGCTTGAAGAGACTCTCGCCTAAATGATGAAAGAGTAAGGTCTCAGGAAAGATGTGCTAATGAGTCAGAGGCTCAAAGAGAAGCACGTATTACTGACCTAAGAGAGAGATCTCAGCAAAGGTGTCTCAATGAATCAGAATCTCAAAGAGTAGCACGTCTTACTGACCTAAGAGAAAGATCACAAGAACGACGTGCCAATGAATCTGATTCTGAAAGAGAATCACGTCCCTTGACCATCAGTAAAACAGTTCAAGAAAGAAGAGCCTCAGAATCTAAAGAACAAAGAGCTCAGCGAAATCAAAGAATGAGGGAGTATCGTAGAGAATTGTTGGCTAATCAACCACCTCCGGCTCCCTCACCAGAAAATTTACGTCAGCAAGAGTTATCAAGGACCTTGAAAAATTTCAAAAAGAAATAAAAATATCTCCAACCAGCATATGCTATACATGTGAACGTCTGTGCTACCCAAAATGTGTATCATTGGTTGATGTGAGTAAAGTGCATGATGTATTACAACAGCATTATCATGCATGTATTAATGATACACAATTATCAGCCTTATTACCTATTGAAGATGTAAATGGTAGTGTTTATGTACGTACTAGATGTATGGATTTTATAAAGAAAGTGAAAATCCCTTCATTTGCAACAATAAATAATATTCATGTAAATAAATTACCACCTGAATTATCCCGTTTGAACACTATGGGACAGAGACTAATTTCAAGAGTACAAGCCTTTATGCTAAGTGTTGCCTTTGGGTCAAAAAGCATTGGCTGGCCAGACCATTAATTTTCCAGCAAATTAGAAATGGATCATATAATAATCATGTGCTTCAGCTTCCTCGAGTAAGTGGCCAGCCAACAAAGTTTTATGAAGATAATAGTGCAGAAGAAATGGCATTTCCATGTCTATTTCCAAATGGAGTCAATGGTCTTCATACAGCAAGAGACCCACCAATAACATTTACTGATTTTATTCAATCACGTTTACTTAATGCTGATAATCGCTGGTCTAGTAATATTCCACATTTACTATGGTCAGCAAATTTACTTGAAAAGATGAGATTACGTGATTCTGTATCAATCGCAATGTGAATTAGATCATCATCATCATTGGGTAGCACAGGGCATATCACTGCTGGTAAATTATTAAATGGAGATTTCAGTGAAAACCCAGAGCTTTCAGAAAATTCATATGCATTTATGCGTAAGATACGTGGTTCCTCAGCTTACTGGAATAAAGCAAAGCTTGATATGTTTGCCATGTTTGGAACGCTAGGTCCACCTACTTTCTTTATTGCATTAAGTGCAGATGATGTGAATTGGTTTGATTTAATGTGTGTACTTGCAAATGTGATGGAAGAATTCTAAGTGATGATGAAGTAAAAGAGCTGTCTACTTCAGAACGTACACTGTAAAAAATTGTGTGTGTTAAGAACACCAACTTCGTTGCACACCCAAAGTGTGCATACACACTTCTGTTAAGTGTGCTGCAGACACTTAAACATGTTCACAATATAATATTATCTTTAGTGTACAGTTTTAAAGTTAAATATTTTCAATAATATGATATTTCATTGGAATGTATAGCAAGTCAGGTTTAGATGACAGTTTATAACAATGGAGTACATGAGAATCCTTAAAGTCTGTGTATTCACAGGCAACAAACTGTAGTGGATAAGATGGAAGCACTTCATATGAGTAAAAGTGGGAATTAAAGCAATCTGTCACTAGTTTTTGGACCACAAATACAACAGTAGTGGAATTATAGAGAACAATATCTTCAATAATGGCAAAAAGTGGCAATAGATCACTTTCTAAGATTACTACAGCTCCTTGCTTGTAATTGCTTCCATCAATCTCAATCCATGAAACACTGCATGTATGCATGAAAACAAAGAAACATAATTATTATTGATGAACAACTAACATATTTAGTGATGTTTCAAATGTGAGATATGAATCCTTAGTTTTAATAACATCAGCATGTGCATAATCACCAAGAAATAACATTTTCCTGTAGTAATTATAATTATTATGATTTATGATAAAATTTTGTCACATACTTTACAGTTCCAATATTTAGATTTTTAAAAGGGTTTGATCCTGATAGTTGATAGCACATTCTAGCCTGATGTCTTGCAGCTAGTGACTTTGGTACATTTTTAAAATTCTTCATGATATGTGTCAAATTTTTGAAATATTTATGTTTAGCCTCAAACCGCATGCACCAATAGCGTGATGGAGGTCCATATCTGTTTAAAATATGATTGTTAAATGCATAACAGACAATAAAGAAAACATACATACCTTCTCATCCATTCAGGTAAATGTATCATATAATGCATTTTGGGGATGATAGGTGAATTTGGGTACAGCTCAGTAAAACGCTCATGATGTTCCTTCAGCAACATGGCAACATAAGATGAAATTTCATCTGATGTCAGAGGTGCAAAGATGTAATCCACAATTGTAACAAGTAGCATAAAATTATTCCAATTATCATTGTCCACTGGAATATGCTCCCCAATCATTAAAGGCAGTAATCGTGCAAGATACCATATTTGAGTAGCTACAAATGCATGTCTTTGAAACATAAGTAAACAAAAACATACCATTTTGCTTAAGATTGTGATCAATAGATAGTAAAGACTTCTGTGAAATATTAGATGCCTTATTTTTTGAATCAGTATACCCATAAGGAAACCCATCAATAATGTTATTATGTTCATCACATGACATTAATCGCATTTCCATTGTAACATATTTAAGTAGCTCTTTTAGTTCATACTCTAAGGCTCCTAAAATGTAATACATGTATAATAAAATGTTGTTTACATTAGCGTCAAATCAAACTTAATTTCTATTATACAAAGTTCATTATCAATATTCATTAACCTTGGTAATTTTTATTAGCAGCTTATAAAAATAGTTATAAAAACCTAGCCAATTTAAGTACATGTACCTAAGTGATCAGAACAGGAATAATGATGCTAACCTTCAAGTACATCATGCATGATATCGGGAGCAGGCAAGTCCATCTGTGACATGAAAATACTTCAGCTCATTTAAAAAAGAATCTTGATTCAACCCGTAGGTAGTAGATATATGGTTATGAAAAGGTCCATTAAGATCAGCAATGTGACTTAAATGTGTGGCACAATTACGAGGGGTAAACTCTTCAAAAGAAAACTATTAAAATTAAGGAAATTACATTAATGATGTGTATTGTTCATGCATGTACTTTTGTTTTAAAATCATCAGATGTTGCCATACAAAAACGACATTTCCTCTTAGCCGATGCTAATGTTTTGTAACCTCCAATACTCCAACTGGCAAGGTTATCTGCTGCCATAACTGAAACAGTTCCATGAATAGTATGAGATTTTCCATTAATCCACAGAGTAACACCAGCATCCTATAGTTAAAATTGTGATTTTAGAAAAAAAAGAAATGGCTTAACTATTAAATAAAATTAGCAAAATTTAAACACTAAATTATGGAATTTATTAATGTACTCACACTTTCTAGAGCTTTTACATCATCAATAAATGGACGAAGAATTGCTTCATGGCCATATCGTTGTAGTAAGGTGTATTTAACAATGGCAACAAGTTGAATGGTTACCATAGATGACCGGTACTTTGGGGACAAGTTTCCAAGAGTGTAATAAAATAAACCTATTTGAACATTGAAAACGTTCAGCTGACTCAATTTAAACTGACCTAATTTATGTATCTTCGCTTTTGAGCCAATAGGGTTACATACTTCAACATCATCATAATAAAGCATGATTTGTAAAGCATTAGGATGATCTTGGAATAAAAGGTGATCTTTGTAAGCCTGACCATCACAAAAGTCTCATAGAATATTATCAGTTCTTTGATGGCTCTTGTTTACCTATTATTTACAATACTTAATTGTGATCAACAAATAAACTTATGCATACTTACATCATTAAAGATGAAGTCATTAGAAAGAAGCTGCTTAAGTGACTCTAAAAGTGGCACAATATAGCAGTTTTCATCACAAGCAGCAAAATGAGAATTTGACCATTGTAACTGTCGCTTCAACTTGCTTCCAAGTTTTACTTTGGAAACTGGCTATAAATGAAGAACATTGGTTTATTCTTGATTTACTTATACTCACAACTAATCCAAAATTACTCTCATAGTACTTGTTCTGCATGAACTTGGACCTGAGTTTCTCAAATGAATACATCTTATTTAATGCACAATCAAGGCCCCGTATGTTTTCCAAATTAATGCCATTTTTCTTCAAAATCTCTCCAACTTCACTTCCAATATTATTTGAGAATCGATAAACAATTTCAATGACATCATTCATGATTTCATCAGTAGCCTTCTGAGAAATACAAAGCATTTCTTTTGTCTTCAAAAGAAATAAAGCAAAGCTTCTTTCTTCATCTTTACTTGAAATTACAGCACTTTGACTGTGACTCTGACAAACATCTCCTGGATTTTCAATTGGTATAGCATTACGATCATCAGACACTTCGTCTTCATCAATATTATCATCAGACTCATCTATGGTAACTTCAACTTGTGATGCAGAAGTTACAGTAGTTGGATTCGAAAAGACATCTGGGTGGAGTCGTCTAAGGTGTTTACGAAATGAGTAATAATTACAAAAATTCCGAATACATCCATTGACACCACAAGTTAAGCTAAAGTTAGCTTCATGAGAGTGAACTACACCAATATGTCGCAGCACTGACAAATAATTGGCAGAAGAAAAATGCTTACATATAGAGCAGCAATAATTAGTGCAGCCTGAGGTCATAGGTATATTTATAGAACTTGCTGCATTAACTGTCAAGTTTGCTGTAGAATGAGGAGCAGACGTTGCAGTAGCAGAAGAAAAGTTATCACTTGCAGTAGCCTTTTCAATATAGATCTATGTAGCTGAGCTTGTCTCCGCCCTTTTTTATACTTTTAATAACTGATATTGGATAGTCTACACGTGTTCAGAGCAACCATTTTGATTTCCACTTCACAGTCATTTTCGAGGTCATTTTCACCTCTTTTTGTTTCTGTGGCGTTGCAGTTTGTTACCATCTCATTCCTAGACACTCATTTAGTGCCACCTAAGTCATACTGAGGAATGCCGAGAAGTGTTCTCGTATCTTATTCGCCGATAAGTCATGTCGAAAGGAATAAAGTGATCACAATACCTGATACTCACGATGAAGATACAGACCTTATGTTTTTAAAGAGAGAGTGTCTTAAATCCTTTAATTTTGGAAGTAATGTTAGTTTGAGTGTCGTATTTCAAAAGTACGATGTTGACTGGGATTCCTTTGTTGATCTTGACGATGATTGCTACCTAGAACATAAAGATAAGCTTCGTTTCATTGTCACTCCTCAACTACACGATTCTTCTGTACCGTCAGAGACTAATGGACCATCCTTTCAAGATAGTGACGTAAAGGTATTGTATAATACATTAATAACAATTACATGTACTTGGGCTATAATTTAATGATAGTAGCCAATTATGATGCATGGGCCATTATTGTAAATTAATAGCTTTTCTAATTTGGTCTATTACTAATGTTGTTACAAATTTGCATCATAATTGCTAATCTGCCTTTATACTTCCATGACATTTTGGCTGTATAGTTAATAGTATTAACACAAATTGTGCAAACACATACATTTATTCATTAATGGATATGTAATACATAAATTCTTTCCAATTTTTATTCCATGTTTATGATTTCTCTTTTGTAGGATATGTTTTGTTCTATTGAGGAAATGGTTGATGATGAAGCGCCCTCACAAAAGAAGTTCAAGAGTGATGATGATATTGATGACCCTGTTTTGCCAGTACTATCTCCTGCAGTAATAGAAGTGCATGAGGAAGAGAAACAAGAGGGGCCTTTACCTGATCCTTTTCCCTTCCCAAAGAACTTTTCGTCAGAAGTTGAATTGGCATTATCATCACAAAAAATGACAAAGGAAACTACCAGTGCTTTTCTTTCTCAAATAGCTTCTGCTATGTTTTTTTACAAACGAAAACCTACCAAGGAAGAGTACACAAGAGTTGCTAAGGATATATTATTAAAGTATCCATTTATGAAGCCATCGTCTGGATCGACGACTGTATGTTACAGTACTATTATATTTAATATTCACTCTCTGATTAATACAGGGTGGAATCATTCAAGCACTTATTGACCGTTTTAAGCAGTTTCGACGTATCAAGAAACCACAGCGGGTCCTTCAAGTTCAAGTACTTCTAGTTCAACATCCTCTTCTGTTTCAAAGCGTTTACCAACTCTTAAAGCTCCTATTCCTCCTGCAGGAGAAGACAGTGCATCATTTGAGTCTCATAACAAGTTGATAAAGGCAGAAATGAAGAAAAGCAAAGGTAAAAATATGGTTGCTGTTCAGGAACTTGTAGCTCGAACGTATGCAATGCGCCGTCAGGATATTAGTTTGATTCATGGTATTGGCGATCTTCTTGATAAATATCCTTTCTTTAGGTGTGTTGATCAGGTTAGATTTTGCATCAATAAATTATACTGTTATTGATTATGCTCCTAATTATTAGATTTATGGTGAGATGGCAAGAATGATGAACAACAACAATTTGCAACTGAGTGTTCGAGATGTATGGAGTAAGATGTTAGCCCCCAAAATATATGAACAGTGTAGCAGAGAAAAGGGAAGCAATTCACGATTACGTGAGCAAATGGAGAACTTCACTACATGTGACAAAGGTAGTTATAAATAGTTGCATGAATCATACATTTATTATCATTAAAGCTGGTGTGGCTTCATTGTGTCTGCTTGCTTACCTTATTCCAGACAGAGTAAAGGCAAACCATGAAATGTTGCTCTACATAGTTCCAGTTAGTTAATAATCCTAAAGCAAAGTGTATACCTATTATTGATTTTTAGGATTCTGGTGCTCCAGAGTCACACATTGAAGGAAAGAATCAAGTGGAGCCTTATCTATTGATATCTTTCTTGTAGTTGATAAAGTTATTGTTACAGAAGTTAAGAATAAGCTTGACATTGTACTTACTTTGCTTTCAGCATACTATGTATTTAACATATGCTACCCAAAAGGCTGCCACAATTTCTTTTTTTTCTTGGAAATTAAAGTACTTGGTATTACACCTAAAAAGACAACCTCTACCGTATCTCATTTTTTGGCTCGTGTATAATTAACATTGTTCTTATACATACTGTTTTGTACTTGTATATTATTCATTATGTTTGATTTAGAACTTTTGAATAAAAATGAAGAAGTAAATCTGTAATTAACAGTTTAGTGTTTATGGTACACCATTTAAGTGTGTGAGATACCCTTCTGCTACAGGTGTTCGTGAAGCACCATCTGGGGTGTGCTGGGCTGGACTAAATCAGTACACCTTTTATGGTGTGTGAGGAACACTATTTTTTTAACAGTGTATGCATAAGTCACAATGTCTAGCTTCAAACCAGAGTAGTCAAAGTGACCAAAGTTACTGGTAACTACGCTTTTTTATTTAGTTTGTTGGTATCCTCATACCTTGCCATGTCTATAAATTTGGCAGATTGGCGGTTCAAAATAAAACTGCCAATATTATAATCGTCAATAATAATTGCAATTCTTATGGGGGGTTCCATCATACTAAAAATGGCAGTATTTTTCACTATTTCAGTGACAGAGTCAAGACTATGGGCAAGGACTGCCAAGGAGCAGCTTCAACGAGACACCTACGGTGCATGGCCTCACCCCTATAGCTGCTATGGTGCATGCCCGCACTGCAATAGCTGTTTGATTATCAGCATGAAGAGAGTCTGCTCAACACTAGCTTCCTGCAGTTGCACTTGCTCTTGAATACCTGCAGAAGTAGCAGCACTGCAGCACATACATGCAAGCAGCTTCAGCCCCTCCCATGCATGTAGATTGAAAGGTGTGGCATTCCATCATACTGGCATGATTGGCAGCAAGAATACCATGTGAGAAAGAAGCTTCACTTTTTCTTTACTAATCAGCAATATTATATAAGATAAACTTGCTGACAAAAAAGTTGCTACCTTTGTATATTTGAGATAGTACAGGTACTTTAGTACCTACAACCCAGCAAGTTGTTGCTCTAGCGCTGCACAAACGAGTGACCTCAACAATTTCAAGTAAGTATAACTCTTCATCAAGTAAGATTTAGAGAAATCTCTTCATATTATTTGAAGGCCATGTTCTAATCTAATGAAAAATGCTACCATCTATCTCTAAAGTGCCAACACAACGGAACTTGGCCCAACTGCTCGATTTTCTTACTTTGAAGCTTCTGTACCTAGCACTTGTATTTGAGCAACACAAAACAGTTAAGAAAGACTTTTCCACGCCAAAAAGAAAGATCCTAGGAGCTTGAGACATGCTGTGCTAAAGTTATTGTTTATTAAAAACAAATTTCAGTTGTACAGAATGAATGAATGAACGAGAGCACTAAAGTGCATACCCTCGCCACAATCTGCGTAACAATTTTAATAAATTAAGAGAAAAATAATTAGTGAAAGTTTTGAGACAAAAAAGAAGTTTCAGCATGTAAAAACTTAGTGAATGTTCTGAGACAGAGAATTTTTTGTTTTTTAGATAAAAAAGAAGCTCCAGCATGCTTGCTGCACTGCATGCTGCAGCAATGCAAAGGTGTGGCTGCAATGAAGGTGTGGCTCAATCAAGCCATGCTCCACCCGCACACAGTAATGGTGGCACATGGCCCTAAGTGGTGAAGAAAGCTTTAGTTTTTCTCGATTTTCAAACAGTTCAGCATACATTTGTTAGGCTCTATTTGTTGCATACAAATGTATTTTGAGCCCCTGATGTTTAAAGACTCTGGCCACTACTTCGGGAGAAGAGAGCCTCGTGTAAACTCACAAAAGTATGAAATTTTGGGCTACCATATCTTTAAAACGAAGATGATTGGAGCAATTCCTCTCATATTAATGAAAGATGAGGCTTTACTTTATTGTTTTATCTGCCCAGTTGCTCTTTTGCTCACACTATGAAAGAGTTGTCGGGGAACCGACCTACGTTTGGTGACTTTGCCAGCTTCTTACTCCACGGAAAAGAAAAATATAGCATTCCCAAGACGGCGAATAACTTTTTCAAGAGCCAGTATTGATTATAAGACTCTCGAGGACTAGACAAGAAAGCAGTGTCAGCTCAAAAGTGGAGGCCAAGCGAACACACACACACACACAGACAGGACGACTGCTTTACCCTCGCTTCCACGACTACGTGTGGGC